GTAAGATATTGTCTCCCGTCTTAGCAGAAAATCATCGTTTATCAGTTTATCTGACTAGATTTCAAGGTCCCCAGAACTCAATGTAATGGTATATCGCACTAGATTTCAAGGTCACCAGACAGTAATGTTTATCGCATTAAATTTCAAGGTCATCAGACAGCAATATAATGGTGGTAGAAATGGAGTTTGGTAACGAGGACGAGGGCGACGATGACAACATCTATCGCGATATTGAAGACGTATTAAACTATAAGTTTAACGTCAATTCTCATAATACAGTTTGCATGATGGAATTATTATACTATCGACCTACTTATTTTATGTATCACATATGTCAATAAACGTACTTTATTTGAGCATTTTTGTTTTATTTGATGAATGGATTTCCTATAAATATGGCAACTTATTGCCGCAATTCAACAATGTTGAATCGGAAGCGGAAGTGTACGGATGGGAGTGGCTTGGTTAATAATCTCATAAACAAACTTCCAGTGGAACTACATATTCCTGGCTATCACTATCAGTATTGCGGACCTGGTACTAAATTAGATAAAAGGCTAAAGCGAGGCGATCCCGGCATAAATCCCCTAGACGCTCAGTGTAAAGAGCACGACATTGACTATAGAGATAACCAAGACTTGGAAGGTCGACATCAAGCAGATCGCCTTTTAGAGCGGAAAGCTTGGGAACGATTAAAAGCTCCCGACGCGAAGTTAGGAGAACGAGCAGCCGCTCTTACGGTAGGTACCATTATGAAGGTGAAAAGAAAGTTGGGGATGGGCGTTAAGGGGAAGAAGAAGAAGAGCAGTAGTTTATTGAATTTGCGTAGGACAATAGCCAGGAAAATGAGGAAAAGCGGCAACACCGCTGACATAATAAAGTCGGCTGTTACGGCTGCAAATATGACCGTAAAAAGTTTAGGTGGTAAGAAAAATGTAAGTGTGCCTAGAATAATTCCCATACCAAAACAGGGTGGGGTTTTACCATTCCTGATACCTTTATTCGCCGGTCTATCGGCAGTTGGAGCTTTAGCCGGCGGAGCGGCGGGGATTGCCAAAGCAGTTAATGCATCTCGTGACGCTCGTAAAATGCTAGATGAAACCTCGCGCCATAATCGCACGATGGAATCGCTCGCTATAGGAAATAAAAGTGGCGGTGTGCTGTTTCTGAAACCTTACAAATCGGGAGGCAGTTTGGCGCTGCATTTACAAAAAAAAAAAACTTCAAAAAATTGCCAAACCGGCCGTTGACTGATGTAGATCTACGTAAGCATGCAAAGGGGTGTGTACCATATTTTAGGGACGTGTTTATGCGAGATAATATGCCTACGGCCCCATGGGAAAATGAAGATGGCGTTATTAATTTAGATAGTCAAAGGGGGCGTGGCACTCATTGGGTCTCGTATAAGAAACGTGGTGGATGCGTTTGGTACTATGATAGCTTCGGTAATATTCCACCACCGCGTGAAATAGTCGAGTATTTCCGCGACTGTAAAATCTATTATAATTACGGGCAAGAGCAACAATTCGGTACGACGAATTGCGGTCATCTGTGTTTAAAATTTTTGTATAAATAACTCGAATGTCGTTGGTGAGCGCGTAGTAGTCATGTCGACGACGTTCAGTATAGAGGGCGTTGGAAATACGGCGAGTCACGATTTCTATCCACCTATTGAACTTCATCCGGGAAAAATGTACGTCATCGGGATGGTGGGGTTTTACGGCTGTAACAGCATAAGAAACATTCACGCGGGAAACGATAAGTTTTACTATAAAACTGAGTCAAATAGCGTATACTCCAAGGTGATAACAATTCCGCACGGTGCGTACGAGTTGGAAGAGATAAGCGAGTATATAAAAGCTCACATTCCTACAAGTCGCTTTAGTCTACGTGCAAATAACAATACGCTCAAGTGTGAACTTAGCTGCGAATTTGATATAGATTTCACTCAAAGAGACTGCATAGGACGCATGCTCGGTTTCGAATCGAAGATATTGGATGCGAATGTTCTACATACCTCTGCTTTAGATATACAAATCATTAAGCATACCAACATTCACATAGAGTGTAATCTCATTACGGGATCCTATCGAAACGGAAATCGCGCTAAAGTCCTTTACGAAATAGACGTTTCCGTTCCACCAGGTTATCGCTTAGATAAAATTCCCAGTAATACTCAATATTTGGAAGTAAATACCAGTAGAATTAGTAATATAACTATAAAATTGACAAATCAAAAGGGCGAATTGATCGATTTCGGGGAAAGTGAACCGTTTACGGTGCGATTAGAGTTAAAAGAATATGGGGTTACGTATTAATCAAGGTCCGCTGCCATCCTTCCTGAACACTATAAATAAACGAGATAAGCGGAAATCGAGTTATTCTCAATCGGGACAGGGTCCGGGCACATTAACGCCAGCAGAAAAATATTTCTTGGAATCCATTGGTCTGAAAGTACAACATGGCGGCGGCAGCAGACTCGTTAAACGTCTTTCAAAGCGTACACTTTGACGAGACGATTGTTAAGTCCGATATTCATACTTATCTTCCATATGGAGGATCTTCGGATTACGGTCTTTCCAGTGAAATACGAATATTAATTCAAAATCAAGAGCTGATAACCGCCACATACGATAGCTTCTTGTACTTGGAAGGAAAAATCGAATGGAGTCAGCCGCAAGAAGAGGGTGCCGCTGCAAAAACATGCAACCTTACAAACAATTTCGCGCCATTCCTTTTCGAAGAAATTCGCTACGAGTTGGGAGGTCAGAAAGTGGATGTATGCAGGAATCCTGGTATTACATCCTCACTGAAGGGATACGTATCATATACGTCTACTGAAAGCAAAGGTCTTAAACATTTGGGATGGTCACCCATCGATGATGGATCTCTTCAAGTAGACTACGACAAGAGCAACAAGGAGAAGCATTTCGCTGTTTGTATTCCGCTAAAGCACATATTCGGGAGCATGGAGGACTATCGGCAGGTCATCGTAAACATGCGGCAAGAATTAGTATTAATTCGTGCTAGAAGCGATGCCAATTGCTACATCGGCACCGCCGACGATGCAACAATAACATTAACAAAAATCCAATGGAAGGTGGCCCACGTGACCCTTAGCGATAGTGCCAAAATTGGTCTATACGAACGAATCAATAAAGATGCAAAAATTACAATGCCATTCCGTCAATGGGAACTGTACGAATTGCCCGCTTTAAAACAGGCACAGTCGGATATATGGCCAATCAAGACTTCAACTCAACTAGAGAAACCGCGATGGGTAATTGTAGCATTTCAACGAAGCGGAAAAAAGTTTTCGCGCGAAGCAAGAGCGGCCAATTTCGATAACATCAATATTCGAAATTTAAAACTTCATCTCAACTCAGAAAGTTATCCGTACGAAGCGATGCATTTAGATTTTAATGTCAACAAATACATCATGGCATATCAAAACTATGTAAACTTTCGACGTGATTATTACTCGAAAGATGAGCAAGACGCTCTGTTTGACTATTTGTATTTTAAAAGTTGTCCGATCTTTGTGCTGGACTGTTCGAGACAAAACGAGTCTCTGAAGCATTCAACGGTAGATGTTAAGCTGGAAATGGAGTCGTTGGAGGCCTTCGAGGCGGGAACGGTTGCTTATTGTCTGATCCTGCACGATGCGCTAGTTCAATACAATCCTCTGACCGGGGAAGTGAAGAAACTATAATTTGTACTTTTTCTATAAATAAAATGTAATGATAAAAATGTTCTTAGTCTTATTTCAACCGCCAAAAATGAAGGTGGTGATGCAAAAGCAAAAGCTGCCCATTCAAAATCTAGATACGACGCCAAATGTGGAGTATAAAAAAACACACGGCGAGTTACTTCCAAACAGTGTGAGATGCTTAATATGCGGACCGTCTAATTGCGGTAAAACGAATACGATGCTCAGTCTGTTAACTGAACCCAATGGTCTACGCTTCAAACACGTGTACGTCTATTCCAAATCGCTGAATCAGGACAAATATAGGCTTTTGGGTAAAATTCTTCAGCCGATGAAGGATATTGGCTACTTTACGTTTAGCGAAAACGCTGATATTATGGAACCCAATGCGGCCAAACCTAATTCAGTTTTTATCTTTGACGATATCGCATGTGAAAAACAGGATAACATTAGAGCGTACTTTTCAATGGGCAGGCATAACGTCATCGATTGTTTCTACTTGGGTCAGACGTATTCTAAAATTCCTAAACAATTGATTAGGGACAAT